GCCCATGGGGTGCGTGGTCCGCAGAGGGGGGGGGGGGGGGGGGGAGCGAGGAGCACACCTACGTTCCGGTGTAGCCCAGGCTGAGCTCATTGATCAGGTACTGAGCCTGCGTCAGGCTGGTGCCTAGGGCCATGGTGAGGGCCGCGCCCAGCGAGGCTTGAGAGATGCGCATCGTGAAAGGAGGAGGAGGAGGAGGAGGAGATTCGTGTCTTCGTGGTCTCGTGGCAGTCGATTTGTCCGGTGATCAAACACACGCCGGTGCCAATTGATCGTGAATTGGACCAAAGGAGGAAAAAAAAAAGATCGAAGGCAAAAGCAACAAGCCTGGAAGAGATTCTCTGCGAGGAACGGAGGGTCGAAGCCGCGCCAAGTCAGTCGGCCCTGCGGCTCGGCCTTGAGGACAGTTGGCAACCGGCAAAGCTGCGATGGGTACAACGAACAGAGCAGCCCAATGCGGTCAAGAACCAGAGACGGGGATATTCGAGTGATGATAGAGCTGGAGACGCCCCAGACGTACTGAGACTGGGTATTGGAGAGTCGGATCGAATTAAAGCGGGATGCTGGTTAAGCTTTGAATAGAGGGCCAATGGTCGGATTCTCCCAGCCATTTTCAGCTTCTCACCTGTGACAGCTTCAGGACACGGTTCCCTGCCTTTGTGGCTCATCCGCAGCATGCGCCACAGATGATCGGAAGTCGGGCCAGGGTCGGCCGATGGTGACGCACGGGCCACGATGCTCAGGGTCCAAGTCTAATTGACAGACAAGACAAAAACAGAAAGAGACAAGTGACGACAGGTGAGAGAAAGCACAGCTCCGTGACATTGTGCACGTCGTCGTCAACGCTGTGGCCCCAACCAGCTTCCTCTTTCTTCACGATCACTCTCGGCAATGCCAGCGCGATTGCACCGGTGAACGAACACCACGCATCACGATGGCCGACCACTTCCCGACCATCACGCAATGCGCCCTCGTCGCGGCCGCGTTCAAGGTGCTGCTCTTCCCAGCATAGTGGGTGCCCCTCCTTGTGCTTGCTGTCGCCAAAGCACACATGGCAGCTGACAATGCGGACGCACAGCAAATCGACCGACTTTGAGGTGCACCGCAATTGGCTAGCCATCACAGAGAGCCTGCCCATCTCGCAGTGGTACCTCGAGAAGACGTCAGAATGGACCCTCGACTACCCCCCCTTCTTCGCCTACTTCGAATGGGCCCTGTCGCAGGTCGCCAAGCTCGTCGATCCGTCCATGACCAAGCTGTACAACCTCGAGTATGACAGCTGGCAGACGATATACTTTCAGAGGTGGAGCGTCATCATTTCGGAGATTGTCCTCGTCTTTGCGCTGCACATGTGGGATGACCTCCCTCTTTGGTGCGAGCCAAGTCACTAATCGAGACGCAGGTTCATCGACTCGGCGAGCCCCTCGAACCGGCGCGCTACCCAGACGGCTGCCCTCTCGATTCTTCTGTCGCCCGGCCTGCTCATCATTGATCACATTCACTTCCAATACAATGGCTGCATGTACGGCATCCTCATCATCTCGCTCGTCCTGGCCCGCAGCAAATCGACCCTGCTCTCCAGCGGTCTCGTCTTTGCTGCGCTGCTGTGCATGAAGCACATTTACCTGTATCTGGCGCCTGCCTATTTCGTCTTCCTGCTGCGCGCCTACTGCTTGTCGCCTAGATCCATCTACACCATCAGGTTCTTCAACTGCGTCAAGCTTGGTGTTGGCATTGTCGCCATGTTCGGCGCCGCCTTCGGTCCCTTTGTCTACTTGCAGCAGATTCCCCAGCTGCTCAGCCGGCTGTTTCCTTTCTCACGTGGGCTGTGCCATGCCTACTGGGCCCCCAATATCTGGGCGCTCTACTCGTTTGCCGACAGGGTTCTCATCTATGGTATGACCCGGCTTGGTCCCCCCCCCCCCCTTCCACAAACGAATGCTGACCCTGTGCAGTCGCCCCTCGGCTGAAGCTTCCCGTCAACCTCGACGCAGTCAACAGTGTCACGCGAGGCCTCGTGGGCGATACGGCCTTTGCCGTGCTGCCTGAGATCAGCCCTAAGATCTGCTTCGGCCTGACACTCTTCTTCCAGGTGCTACCGCTCATCAGGCTCTTCGGCGCGCCGACGTGGGAGAACTTTGTCGGCGCCGTGACACTCTGTGGATATGCGTCCTTCCTCTTCGGCTGGCACGTCCACGAGAAGGCCGTCCTGCTCATCATCATCCCCTTCAGCCTCATTGCGCTGCAGGACCGTCGATACCTCGGCGCATTCCGCCCGCTTGCCGTCGCGGGCCATGTCTCTCTGTTCCCGTTGCTGTTCACGCCGGCCGAGTTTCCGATCAAGACGGTGTACACCATTTTCTGGCTGATCCTCTTCCTCATGGTGTTTGACCGACTGGCGCCGGCCTCGCGAAAGGCGAGGTTCTTCCTGCTCGATCGCTTCAGCACGCTGTATATTGCCGTCAGCATCCCGCTGATTGTGTACTGCTCGCTTGTGCACCAAGTCGTGTTCGGCAAGCGCTACGAGTTCCTACCACTGATGTTCACAAGTTCGTACTGCGCGATAGGAGTCGTCGGTAGCTGGGTGGGCTTCATGGTCGTGTACTTTGCATCCTGAAGGTCGAAGACAGAGGACATGAGAAGCCTGATGAAGCATGCTCTAAGATGCGACTACAATAGAGATCAAGTTCCGAGACGCCAGCATGCCACGGCAGACAGTGACGTGAATCAGGCTCTTAGAGGAGGAGCTCTGTCACCCAATTGAGTGGGTTGAGGTTGGTGCTGACTCAGGAGACAGCCAATCAAAGTTGTGTGACCCACGTGTGATGCAAGGCTGAAAGCCACAGCAGCGGGTAGAATTTCTGACCCTAACGATTTCGGGACTGGGGTGGGTCACCGGGGGGGGGGGTTTCTATTGTGGACCGCGACGGATGGCTGCGCGCGAGCACGCGTTGCTTGTTGGGTCCAATTCGTTTGACCGGTCTTTGGCAACCACAGACGGGCGGCAGACAGCATCCGACTGAAAGATGGACAGGACATCGATGCACAGAATAGGGGGATGTGATGCGATAAGAACCAATTTCAGAAAACCTACGGCAAGGTCCGCATGGACAGGATGACGTCTGGGGATGGTCAAAGGTTCAGAGACAAGGGCATGATATTGAATGCGACGCGGGATGCAGCAAGGTCTATGACCAATCGAGCTTCTATATACATTGTTCAGCCTTGAAAGAATAGAGGAAACGAATGAGAAGTCTTTTTGCCAAGGTGGTGGGCTGGAGCAGCCGGATGACGCAGGGCGGTTGCTGGAGGCCTTTTCAAATGTCGAGGAGGCGATTGACAGATTTTAGGCTACCCTTTCGATGGTTCGAGCACGTGCATCGAATCGACGCTCATTTGACCATCTCGTCTACAAAAATCTTCATTTGACGTGTATTCGATTTCGGCGGTCGACAGGGTCATTTTAAGCCTATATACTGTGGCCCATGTCCCATGAGCGAAAAGGTGGTTGTCACGGCAGAGATGGCCGGGTGGATAGGTGGTTTGGAGGAGGAGCGCGACGTGAATCCGAACCGAACCGCACCGCACCACACCACACCACGGGGGCTGCCGGACGGGGGTCCCGACCAGCGCAGCGGCCGCCAATAGGACCTCGCGGACGGCGGTTAAGCGAGGCGCCTCCCCACTATCCACCGTGGGTCCAGGTACCGAAGTCACTGTCCCCTTCTAAAGTGCACCCGTACGGGGCCCTTCAGCGGTCGACAGCAGGCGATCGTGGGGGCCGTGGATCGTGAGGTACCTCGGGGTACTTGTGTCAGGGACCAAATGGACGACACGGCCGACCTCCCCCCCCCCCCCCCCCCCCCCACCCGTCTCGTCTCGGTGCAGCAGCTGCTGGCGCTGGGTCGCTGCGCTGGGTGGAAGGGTGGAAGGGTGTATGGGTGTGTGCAGGCCTCCTCCTCTGCCCTTCTCCTCCTCTCCCACTCGGACTTGTTTTTTTTCCTCCTCCTCCTACCTCGTTTCCTCGTCACCACCAGCTTCAACCTCACGACACGTCAGCGGCGGCCATTCACCCACCACCGCGATCCCCGCCGCTCATCGAACCTAGCGGATCATCCCCCCCGGCGTCTCTCGCGACCCTCCGACTCGACCGCCGGATCGCGTCTCCCACCGAAGCCTCGCGTGTAAGTCGCTACCACGACAGATCCGCACACCGGCACCAGCATCCACGACGCGACTCCGCCACCCACAATCGACGCTCCCTCGACGACCGGTTCGCGCGACAGCACAACCACGGCACCAAACAACGGCATTTTGCTTTCTTGGCCATAGTAAGCTCCTGCAGACGAGAGCAGGCTACTTTTCAGCCTTGCATCACGGCATCCCGGTCCACCCTGCCAACCCTCGGACCAGACGATGCAATTGTAGCAAAGCCGCAGCCACCATGGTATACTCCGACCAACAACTACAACGAACTCATCTGGATCCGGATGTCGCTGACATGCAGCTCCTAGGTTCTTTTCAAGCGAAAGCCTGTTCGCTTTTTACCTCCAGCCGACATCAAGGACGACAATGCAGAGGTTCGCAACTAACCGCCCACCCCTCAAGCGCCGACGCTAACCAAGCTTTCTTCTAGGTTTGGCACATTCCTCAAACGGGAGAAGTCTTTGGTCAATATGAAGACTACTTGGCCAGGTAGGCCGAATTCCTTCCCAGCTTTCCCCCAACCCTCATCATGTCAATGAGCCATCCGCTGACAGCTCGTAGGATGGATTTCTACAAGCAGGTAAGAGCGAACCTGGTCGAGTGGGGCAACTACTGTCGCGACACCCATACTCACCCAAGTTCTGTGTTTAGCGACGTTTCAACTGCCAGATCAGCGGACATTCGGGGTTGACCTTCTTCGAAGCTCTGAAGAGCGAGGTACGCATTCGTTCTCCTCCCGACCCTACTCTGACATGGCGTTCCTGACCACTTCTCTCTCCCCCCAGACCGCCGGCGCCGAGGAAGTAGAGCAAGCTTTCCCCGAAGCCCTCAAGGGCCCCGTCCTCCGCCGCGTCCAGTTCCAAACCGTCTCCCGCATCGATACACTCGTCGACATGGTCTTTGAGGACTTCCGCTCCGACTACTACCCCGGCGAGGCCGTGACCGTCAAGCTCACCAACGGCGAGAGGTTACAAGGAAGCGTTCGCGAGAAGACGCGCTTCGGCCACAAGGTCCTTCCCGACGGCACCATCAAGCCGCCAAGCACAAAATACTTTGTCAGCATCGACGACCGCGAGGATGCCGAGGCCGTCGTCGACGACAGTCACATATTCCGCGATCGCAAGATCTTCACCAAGGCTGTTCTGCGGTCTTTCATCAAGCGGACCGTCACGCGCGAGGCCTGGAATGGCGCTCCTTGGCTCGTGAACCACGACTACGCCCAGGAATACCACATCGACACGCGCATTCCTGCGCATCTGCTCTACGACAACAAGCTCCTCGAGAGGAAGATGCACCAGGCGCAGAAGCGCGCCTCTCTGCCCCACGACCAAAATGGCGCCAACGCCAATGGATCTTCACCCTCGGGACCTGCCCGTCTGCCAGAGCTCAAGCCCATGCCCAAGACGCAAAAGGGCAAGCTGCAACACCCACACCAAAACCACTCTGGACATTACCTCAACGACCCGAAACGACCTGCTCCCGAGGCGGGCGTCTTTCACGCGCACTCATCTGGCAACCCCTTTCAGCTCCCGAACTTTCGCCAAAACGACGCCTTGCCGCATCACATGGCAGCCCCCCTACCGCCACCACCTCCACCGCCACCAAAGTATCCCATTGAAGATCTCGCGCTCGAGCCGCGCGACGACAAAATCAGGCCGCCCATCAAGTTCATGTGCAAAGACCCGCCGAGCGAGTCAGTTCCAACAGCAAACGGCAGCGACGAATCTCCCAAGGACTACCGAGACCGAATCTCCATGTCGTCGGTCGGACCCCTGCTGGAAACGTGGGACACGCTCAACGTGTACTGTGAGATCTTCAAGCTCGACTCCTTCACCTTTGATGATTTCGTCGAAGCCATGTGCGTCGCATCCGAAGAGACGACCGTTCAACTGTTTGAAGAGATCCACTGCTCCGTCCTCAAGATGCTTGTGTCTTCCGAGGCCGATGGTGGCAAGGTCAACGTGCCGCTGCCTGAGCTGGAGGACGAGGATGACGAAGAGGAGGAAGACGAGGAAGAAGAGGCAAGGTCGCCCACCCCCGAAGCGGAGAGGCCGCCGGCACGCGCCACCCGGAGCAGCTTGGCCAAGGCCGAGGCCGAACGACTGGCTGCCGAGCTCAAGGCTGCCGAGGCTGAGGCAGCAGAACCAGAGGTCAAACACCGCGCCGAAGATCTCTTGGAGGAGTACGAGTGGATCGAGCACCTGCGAAAGCGCGACTTCAAAGACGGCGGCTGGGAGATGATCATGGTCGGCCTTTTGCACCAACTGTCCAAGGAACCGCGGTTGGAGAAGTCGTGTGAGGAGTTGCTTGAGCAGCTTGTCCCCCGATCCGTGGACCCGACACAAGAAACGGTTCTTCAAGCCTATGCGAACCTCGACGTCAATCACCGGGTTCAAGCCTTGCAGATTATCTGCATGCTCACGATGCGCACAAAGGCCATTCGCGCGTACATGGAGGACTGCAGCGAGACGATGACGGGTTACCGGAAGGAGAAAATTGAATGGCAGAGGCAGAGGAAACAAGCGTGAGTACCATGGCCGTGACAGCCAGAGATTCGTACTGACCGGAGACAGTGTCGAGGAGCTGAAGGTGCTGAACGACCAACGAAAGGCTCTTCTGCCCGAGGAGACGCCGCAGGACCCTGCCAAGGCGGAGGAGGATGCAAAAGCTGCTACGACTGATGTGGACTCTCCGGCAAAGGCTGGCACTCCCACCAAGGAGGGAGACGGCTCCGACTCAGAAGAAGATGCGCAGACGCGCAAGAACGGACGCCGACCGAATGACCGCACCCTCGAGCGCCAGCGGAAACGCAAAGAAGAGAAAGAGCGGAAGGAGAAGGCTGCCGAAGCTGCCAAGGTGCCGAAGCAGTCGAAGCAGCTGATCAAAAACACCAAGGACATTCAAAAGAAGGAGGAGTTCATCAAGAAGTGCGAGGACGAGGTTGCTATTCTCGACAACGATCTTCGAGAAGCGGATTGCCCGCGCACGCGTGTGTTGGGTCGCGATCGATTCTGGAACCGATACTACTGGTTCGAGCGGAATGGCATGCCCTACGGTGGACTGCCCGACAGCTCGACGGCCTCGGCCGACTATGCCAACGCATGCATATGGGTGCAGGGACCGGATGACCTCGAGCGCGAGGGCTACATTGACCTCAGCAAGGAACATCAGGACGAGTACAAGGCCAAGCACGACATGACGGTGCCCGAGCGCAAGAAGATGGAGGAAGGCGCGATGAGCGTGTTCAATGCCGGCCAATGGGGCTATTACGATGACCCCGAGGCCGTCGACAACCTCATCCGCTGGCTGGACCCGCGCGGCTACAACGAGTTGAAGCTGCGCAAGGAGATTCTCAGCTTCAAGGACAAAATCGCCAAACACATGGAGAACCGCAAAGAGTATCTCGCACCCGCGGAGAAGGAGGAGGATGAATCCAAGGAGCCGAAGCGCGGCGTCGCCACACGCACGAGGCAGCAACAAACCCCTGAACCCACCAACTACAGGTGCCTCGCGTGGGAGAACACGGTCGCCATGGAGGAGCTGGGGCACTTGCACTCGGAGCCGCCCCCGCCGCCGCGGAACAAGAAGCAGGTAAAGAAAAGGCAGGCTGTCGATCCCACGCCGGAACCGCCATCGGCTCCCAAGACGAGGCGGAAGAAGTGAGGAGCCTGGGCCGGATGAATGTGTAATATAAGAGGTAGAGAGGGGGAAAACAATCTGCCACCCTTCTGACGTACAAAGCAGATGGGCTAGCGACTTTGCATGTATGGGCATTGGCGATATGGTGTTTTTTGTGGACAACGGATGGGGGGGGAGGGGGGGGGAGCACCAATACGACTCTGTCTACGGACAAGAGGGGCCGTCTCGGTTTTGCAAGGACGCAGGGAGGGAGCGAAGGCGGACGGCAGCGTTTGATTGAGAATCGCGTAGACTTTGCATCGAAAGCGTTTGTCTCGCCATTTCCCGCAGGTTGTGCCATGTTTTTTGTGCCCCATTAGTTGGCCAAGTCCTCGATGCTAGCTATTTGAGCACGACTCTAGCTCAACTCTGCCCTTCATCAGTGACCATGATGCTTTTTTCCTGCTCCATCCGTCCAACTCATCACGAGTGAAGTGAACGTGTGTGTGTGCTCTCCCCTTTAGCTGCCTCAGCACCGTCTAGACACAGCGCCGACTCGACGAGACGAACCCCCTCTCGCGCGCCCGCAGCGTCTCCCACCGGAGATGCTCCTCCTCCGCATCCTCCGCCTCTCCGGTCGATATCGTCTCCCACCGCTCGCCCCCGTCCTCGACCTCACACTCGTCTTGGTCTTCGTCTTCGTCACCCTCAACCTCCACGCCGTCGTCCGCCGCGCTCTCGTCCCGCTCCGCACTCGCCGTCATGGCCCCAGAGAAGACGTCGCCCCCGCCGGTCCGCCCGCCCTCCCACCAGGGCCTGTACCCCGCCAGCGCGCCGCGCCGAAACAGCGAGCCCGGCGGCGGCGCGGGCGTGATGCCGCGCGCGGGGTCCGCGTGCGAGGGGTCATCGGGGAGGAGGCGCAGGCGCGCGAGGACCCGGCGGTGCTCGACGTTGCGGAGGTCGTAGGGCCCCGCGGAGATGCCGGGGGGTGGGTTGGGGAGGAAGTAGCTGCTGTGGCCGGGTGAGCGGACGGCTTCCTCGTAGCGAGGGGGGGCTGTCGCCGTGAAGGGGGGCGCGGTGGCGCTGCTGTTGGCGGGATTTCGGGCGCGGGCTCCTGGGACCGGAGCTGTGAAGAAGTCTGGGAGGAAGGGTGGGAGACGGAGGGTGCTGGTTTGGTGGGCTTGCGGACTGGAGCTGCTTGTCCTGGGGGATCTCTCTTGGTGGGTGCTTGAAGGGGGGTTGGCCGTGGGGAGGGCGTGGCGGGAGGGCGTGGAAAAGAGTCCCCTTTCGACGGGAGTAGAACTTGCGGGAACGGCTGATGGTGCCCGGCTCAGTGTGATGGTTGTCGGGAACCAGTGCATAGACATGATGCAATCGAATAAGTGTGATGTGTTGCGAAACCTTGGCAGTGGTGCATATAGGAATAAAGGTGTGATTGATAGCCAAAAGCGTGGGACGAGGAAAGAAAGAGAAGTGCCGACTGATGTATGAATTATGATGCACATCGGAGATGGCTTCACAGAATAGGGTTCACGAGAGCTATCAAGGGTCTTGAACTTGAATTTAGATGTGCGAAAAGTAGTGCATTGCCGAAGACCATACCTCTACCCCGAACACCTCTCCGGCTGGGTGTCACCACAAATTGTTATCGGATTTTGCAAGGGCAATCGGTGCAAATGGTCGACCGCGGCCGTCTCAGAACATCAGCTGAATTCGGGCGATATGGGCCACTTCACCTTGAGAGCTTACTCGGACAAACGTCATGTCTTATTTTCACCCCATGGCCTGACCCGACATCTCGACACGCCGACCTGTGCTGTGGTATCCAGGCATCCAACTTCCTAACCCGTCAATCTTCTGCAACCCCTAAGTCTGTCGTGAGAGCCCTTTCGAGACCAGGCGCAGCGCTTCGCCCTTCCGCGACAGCACCCATTCTCAATAATGACGAGGCATTCAGTTTGCCGGCCCCCTTTCCCAGCGTATACGTATACAGAGTCAGAAGAATCAGGAGCAGCACCTGCACGCCTAGCAGAACGCTGGCGGCAATCATGGATGCATGGCTGACATCGACTCCCCTGAAGTTGACCGGCGGTTTGTCAACAATCCGCCGCAAGCCGTACGCTCTGTCCGTGTCTACAGAAGTCAACAGGGCTTCGTTGGCTAAATACATTGCAACCCCGAGCGCAAGACTTGCTGACTCCTGTGAGAGAAACCCACGAACGAAATTGTAGGCTTCTGTGGTCAGGCTCTCCTTTGAAACCGACGTCGCGTTACAGGTGCTGGCCATAGACTCAACCCAGGCGGGTGGACGAGGGTAGTCAATGCCCGCCAGTGGCGGCTTGAGGGCGCTGCACAGGCTGCCCGGAACACTCGTCTCCGTTGAGCGCAAGAGCTGAAGGAGCGTGTGGTGGTACGACTGCGGACCGAACAGGACTTCTGCTGCCATTTGCAGCGGACCGGGTGGCGAAGATGCTGTCCCCGGGCGGTCATAGTTTGAACTGTCAAGATTAGCAGCCATCATTAATAAGGGCCATATTGTACGTACTCGCTGGTAAGAGGCGATTCTGCAAAGTAATCGTCAAAGTCGTTCGTCTCGTTGGGGTCTAGCCATTGCGCCAGCAATTCAGATGGCTGTTCCTGATTGTAGAGATTTCCCAACTCAAAATACCCCATCGTGGAGCGGCCAACACATCGGATAGTGAAGTTGTGAAGATCGTCATTAAGCGTCGCGTCTCCTGCATCGGAAGCAAGTTTGGCGTCAAGATACATCTCCTCCTCAATATCTTGACGGTCGCGCGTAGCCCCCCACGGCTTCCCATCCTTACCGTCCGGAACACAGACTCGAATGGAGATGCCATTCCCGGTGTAGTTGGTGAGGAAAGGGAACTGGCCAGAACAGTTGGAAGGAAACTCATCGGCGGCGATGCTCGCACATTCTGATGAAGAGTTCAGCCTCAGCGAGCGCATCCTGAGTCCTCCAGTTGTGCTACCAGACGGCACAGACGAAACCCAGAAAGCGTCTGCAGAGACTGGAGCGAAATTGAAACCTTCGCCAGCATCCATCGTCTGGGATGTCCCGTTGCTCCTCCATAGCTGGGGCTGTATACTGCGGGACGTCAGGGTCCGGAGACGCTCATCCATCACGTTGAGTAGGGGCTGTCGGGGTATCTCCGGAATAGTGCCCGGGTCGATATCAAAGGCGAGAGATCGTGCACCAGTGCTTGACGTGTCTCTAGCAAAGATGCTGGTAAAGCTCTCGCATGAGGGAGTCCATCTTGAGCCCTCATGATTGTTGTCACACACATACGCTGGTCGAGAACCGATTGGAGCGAGATAGGTTCGAAGCGGAAGCTGTATGGCACCTAGCAGCAGTTAGTACTGAGGCGGCGGATCCCGTGATTCGGAACTCGAGACGAACTGATCAGAACAAACAAAGTCGCAATGTACAGGAAGGCTGATCGATCTCCAGCCGCACGATGGAGATGAGTTGGGTCCATTGTGACCCAGTTTCTGTCTGCAAGACCGAGCAACTGACGCATCGTGAGTTCCTGCTTCTTGTTCTTTCGCTCAACATGAGCTGCGGCACCGTAGGCCAAGAGAGCAGACACGAATGGAATCGTGACGACTGCAGCGACTGTGTCGATGACTGGAACAGCCTTAAGCCATGCTTCGTAGACGTTGATGTCTTTCTGACGGACTGTCGACATGCTGTCCGTTGGTGTCTGAGTTGCGACCACACAAATAAGCACCCATGGTGTAACGAGCAGTACGCTGTACCCAATAAGTATGAAGACTGGCTGCCATGGGTAGTGTCGTGGTTGGGCTTGTTGATGATTCGGGTCTGCCTGAACTTTCTTCGTGTCTCCTGTGCTTTGCGCGTGGTCGATCGTTTGCTTCATGATGAAGTGCTAGGGGATACCCTCGAAGCTGGAATTTGTCACATGAGACGGAGACGAGAGAATTCAATCGGAGATCCATGTCAGGGCCGGCACATCGACTCTTCACTTCTAAATTGTTTCTTCCCCCTGCTGCGGTCAGGACGTCTTTGCTTTGATCTGCTTAGAAAAGGGTATGGACTCCCCCAGAGCAAGCGAGGCCGCGGAATGCGTGCGCATGGCGTTGATCGACACCTAGCCTCGTAGGGTGAACCAATCTATGGTCAGGACCAAAATCCCCTAACCAGGTGCGCTTGCGACACAGTAGCTTAGGTCGCTTGGCAAGGCACACTGGTTGCCCTCACGTGGTCTTTCAGCGAGGCGACTGCCACTGAATCAAATCATGGCTAGACCCGATGCGTGAACGTTGCGTCAATGGCGTACATGCTTCAGCTAGCACAGCACCTCATCATTCTCCCGTTCCTGTGGGGTACCTGTCAATGCCGTAGGTCTCATTGAGTGAAACTTGCGTCACGACATTGCCGTTCTCCATGCGCACCCAAGTGTCGACGGACAAGGCGCCGCCCTGGTTTGCGCCCTCGGCTTTTGATGAAATGGTAAGGTGAAGTATTCGCGCGCCGCGATCCCATGTGCCGTAGCCTCCGTAGCCAGTGTGTTTGGCGAAGCAGAGGAATGGCGCCTTGGACGTGGCGTCTTTCCCCGGCCACGTTGAACACCACGAATCTCCGTGATCGTGTCCCACATGAACGCTGTGTAGGCCTTCTGCCTGAAGGAGCGCGTTCACAAACGCCGCATCCTCGCCTTCATTGCCTTGGAACGCCAGCGGCATGTCATCATTCAATCCGGGGAACAAGTCGGCATGTACCCCTGCCTTCTGTGCTTGGGAGAAAATGTGAGGCGGTATGTGCACGAAAGCAATGCTGGGGATGACGCGATTCTCATACTTTTCCCGAAGCTCCTTGTGCGTCTCGATGAACCACTTTGACGTCTCTGGCGCTACCCAGTCCGGCAGATCTGCGGTGTCCGATGAAGGGTCGTGGTTGAAGGCCTTGCCGCCGCGACTGTCAAAGAACCAGAGAATGGCAGCGGGATCCAGGCCCTCCGGCTCGGCACCTTCTTCCTGGTGAGGATGGATGAGAACGTAGTAGTTCGAACTGCCGGGCAAATGATTGACAGTGTCTGTGTAGCAGAGACTGTATACCCTTTCCGCCTTGTAGATGGCCTCCCTGGAGAGGTTGAATTGGGAGTCATGGTTGCCATAGACGGAGGCCCAGGGCTTGTTGCTCTGAAGCATCGGCCGGATGATCTGCTCGACATAGTCTGACGCGTTCTCGCGCAGCGTATTTTCGCCGGTAATGAGATCGCCGTTCAGGACAACAAAGTCAACCTTCTCGTCGCGCAGGACCGAGCTCATGACGCGCGTCGTGTTTTGGTCCTGCTCGATGCCCCAGCCGTCCTCCTGTTCCCCATAATGAAGGTCAGAGAAGATGGCGATGCGGAAGTCGCCGTCTTTGTTGAGCTGCAGATTGGCTTTCGAAGCAGAGGGCTCTCGCAACGCTGCGTGGCCAGGCGAGGTGTTGACGACGAGGATGACGAGGATGAAGAAGATGATGATAAAGACGATGATGGCACGGGCCATTCGCCAGAGGAGGGCCCGGCCGGACAGGGGCGGAAGGTCCGTCATCGCTGGCGGTGGCTTGCGATGGATCGGTAAAGAATGTCAGAAGATGATGTGGCAGGCGTCATTGCCTTCTGTGTCTGTTGATGAGAGATGGGACACCTTGTGTGTGAGTGAGGCGCGACGCCGATTGAAGTCTGCATGTCACCTCGATAGATGGACGTCGAACGTGGCCAAACAGGGACTGTCTCAGACTTTCCTGGGTGCCCGATTTGAGCGGGTCGAGCTCCTGGTGGTCATGGCGTGCGTAGGTCTGTCAAATCCCGAGCTATGGAAGAAAGGTGCGAGTTTGGATAGAATGGCGACTGTCAGCGCAATGATGTCTTTTCGATAGCGAAGATGCTATTGATGAAGACGGATGGATTGCTGAGGCATGGTTGAGGACGATGACTGGCGTTGTGGTGGAAGGAGGGAGCATGTGGCTAAGCATGAGGTTTAGTGCCTGTGGCGCTTTACTTTCGTGCCCAAAACTCACTCTACAGGGAGAAAGGGCTGGCCAGGGCGCCCTAACAGCACCAAAAGCGTGACTTCGTGTGCGCCTTCCTGGAACACATCCACCACCTATCGTCATAATGTTTGATATGTCACGCGATGAAGCCATTCTGGAGATGTGTTTCTACTAAGAATATTGCCTAGCCGATGTGTCCCTCTAAAGTGATCAAAATGTGCTCCGAGTCTATGTCGCAAGGCGAGCCACGTAACGCCGCAGGTCCCCCCTCAAGGGATGCGGAAGTACGGGTTCTCGACTGTCTCCCTGAGACTGTCCTTCAGCGGCTTCCACCCGTCCTGGCTGGCCCACTTCTTCAGGATGGCGATGGATTCAGACTGGTCGGTGAGGGCCGGGAAGAAGTAAGGGTCGGGATAGTCGGCAGGGAACTCCCGGTGAGGGCGGATCTCGCGCAACACGGCAAAAAATTCGTTCCAGTTGCTGCTGTGGCCCCAAGTCTGCAGACGGGCGTTCTTGATTTCCGGATCCAGAATCGCCGCAACGTGAATGGCCGCGACGTCCTCGACATCGACGAAGAACACTACATGACGTGTGAGTACGAGTTGGCAACCCGGAATGACGGAGGTACTTACTCGATGGGTACGGATCCAGCGCGGCTCTGTCATTCCTGAAAAGGGCGGCCACCCAGTGTCCGGGCTTCTCAACGTGCTTCACGTGGAAAGGCGCGCCAATGACACCCGCGGGGCTGACGACGTTGACTGTGAAAGGCGGCTTCTTCTCTTCGACAAACGCCCAGACTGCCTTTTCCGCAGCAGTCTTGCTGGCCGCGTACGTGATCATGGCGCGGGACGGCTCGTAGGGAGGGGGAGCCCAGGCGGCTTCCAAGATGGCCTCGTTCCACGTGTTTCTGTCGACAAAGGTTTCCTGCCCACGCACAGGAACGATGGCAGCCACGATGGAGCTGGTATAAACAACTTCCTTGACTGAGGGCTCTTTGGTGGCGGCGGTGAGGATCGATGTTGCGCCAGCGACGCTCTGAGGAATGACGGCGTTGGGATCTGGGTTGAAGTCAAGGGGACTGGCAACGTGGGCAATAGCCGAAACACCCTTGACGGCCTCGTCAAAGGCGCCATCGGCTGCGAGGTCGGCGACGGCGACGACTTCGAAGTTGCCGCTCTCTGCATAAGACTTGAAGGTATCTTGGACAAGCCAAGATGCCTGGTTGAGGTCGCGAACAGTGCCCCGGACTCTGTAACCGCGCTGCAGAAATTGGTTGACGACATGACCCGCGACGAAACCCGTGGCTCCGGTCACGAGCACCCATGCGCCATCCGGGATAGTTGTAGGGGGTGAAGACATGGCGATGGCGATCTTGGGAGAAACGGAAGAAAGCGAAGGTTGGCAGGACAGTGATGACGATGCTTTGGTCCGTAGCTTTGATGAATTCCGAAAGACAACATGATAATGATGGGATAAGGGGTTTTATATTTCGTCGAAAGCGAGCGTGATAGATCTTCCATTGAAAGCCGAGAGAGATGGTGGAACGCAATGGTGTCATTGGCCTCCTTCGGGTCATGCTCAAGGGATGGGACCAAAGGTGCACATGTAGGAGGTTAGTGATATCGCTCAGTTAGGAAATACCAAAGCTTGGCATGAACTACCCACGGCTTCCGGATCGCTTCTCGTGATCTTGCGCCATGGTAAAGTCCGCCGCAAGAACCGATGGACGTGATTCTCCGGTGCAATTCTCCGGTCGGCGCATTGGCGCACTAAATCTCTTCAGCAGCGGTTCTATCCACTTGCTCATCTTGCTCATGCCGCAAAACATCCACGAGTGGAAAGGCGTGTTTCCAGTACAAACGTTCCAACATTTCCGAAAGGCCGAGAGAAGTTGGGCCACCACTGACTTCAACCATGGAGACCACGCCCTGACAGTGTTGTATGGCCGTCTTTGTGTCTCCAAAGCTCATCTAGATTATCGATTAGCTACTAGAACATGTGCAATCTTCTGACGCCGCTCACTTCATCCAAGGCCAGTGCAAGACCTGTGGCGACTGTCACCCGGCGAATAGGCCCGTTGAGCGCATGCCGCAAAGTTTCGAGACCTTTCTGTTTATACTGAAGAGCCATTTTCTTCAGCGAGTTGTCTTCTGGCTTGCCACGTAATATGTTTTGACAGGCACAGAGGAGGATAGCCGTGTCTAGGAAGTTCTTGTCCGCGATGGCAAGCCCAACCCAATCTCGGAGGATGCGGAGGCCGTGATCTCCCTCAAAATTGAAAAGAGCACAGTTGACAGCCATATAGGGCACCATAACGCTGAAGTCTGTCCAAGAAAAAGATCAGCATGGGTGGTCAGCTGTGCGAATTTCCCATCAAGGGGTTTCAGCTCGTACAGTAACGCAGCAGATCATACTCCGCAGGCGCCAAGGAGCTCGCTAAATATGTGAAGAGACCGCCCTTGTGGTAATTTGGCGTGCTGTTCAGAGGAACGAGAGCTATCGAGAAGGTCTGGTCGTCCTCCTCCTGAGCCAGTTTCACTTCTTTCTGATGCTTCTGCACCCTCAAACGCCGTTTCTTGGCATGCGCTTGACGAGTGGCATGTGAGTGGCATAACTTTCGTGACTCGGACGACATGGGTCTCGTAGGCCCAGAAACAGGGACAAACTGTATTTGTGACTGCATTTTCGAGAACTTGGCATTCGAAGTCGCGAGATTCTCCGAGAGGCTCTTTCGTTGCTGGCATGAAATACCAGTTGATCAAAAAGGAGGAATGGAGTGGGAGACAACACACTCGTCAGCGGAAATGGACCTCCTACTCCCTACTCTAGCTAGTTCCACGGCGCACAAGTCGCGCACAAGTCCACTCCGCTGCCAAGACTTGCAACTACCAGTTTGGGAAGTAGGTATCCACCTTTGAGCTCTACCTTGTGGTACGGTAGACAATGTGAGTGAGGCTTCGGGGTTTTTATTATGGTGCTCACCGGCAGAAATGGGGATTTTTCTCGCCCATTGTCTACAGGAATATTGGGAAATGGACTGATCCTTTAGCTGTGCATCAGAGCCACCTTCTTCTCAAGTGGCAGGTCTTGGTCGTTGTCATGCTGTTAATTTTCTCCTACGCAGCTTGATTTTGGCTGTGAAGGTCACACGAGTGTCGATATTTATGCAATCCCCGTTCGGTGAAGCAACTCCTTATCAATTTGAACATGGGTGGGCTCATTTTACATCGTATTGTTTACGTCAAATACTTCTCCTCAAACCTCAATAGTAATTGCGGTCCACGCTTCAGGGTGGCTGGCACACCAACATGCAGCCGTGGATGACGCCAGGTTCTAAAGTGCTCGACAAGGAGCTTAGATATTCATGTCGCTGATCTTTGTCGACTGCCGAACCTCGTTGGCGTGCATCTCGACTTCCGTGACGTAACCCTTGAACTTCCGAAGCGGTACACGTTTCTCGAAGCTGTGTTTCAATCATGTCAGCCATTCACCGTAGAATCGTTAAAGGGCATCGCAGATAGCTTACAGTTCGTCAATTTCGGCAGGTGTTCGGCGTGCGACCTCGGGAAGGATCAGCCAGGCAATAGCCACGGCGACAGTGCCGGTGCCGGCGAAGCTGAAGGCCAATGTTAGTGGACAGGGCGGGTTTCTTCGGAAGCGTGACACCTTACAAGAAGGCGGTTTTGACGCCCCAGTGGGTATTGTCTCCATTGATCATGATTGGAGTAGTGAAGCTGAACATGACCGAGATGGCGTTAGAAGCTGCAAGGGCCCATGCGGAGGTCCGGGCTCGAAGGCGCTGCTGAGGCATTTCGGCGGCGTACGCATATCCGATGGATGAAGCACCAGTGGTGGAGAAGGTAGCCAAACAGGCGAAGAAGATCTAGACCGTACGTCAGCCTCATGGTAGGAGGAGCATCATGGCGTTCTGGCACTAGGCGGACTCACGAGAAGCGAACTCAAGGTCTTGTCGGTGTAATCAAAGCAACCAATAATGCCTAGGGACAAGACTGAAAGAACCGTGACCGCATAGGGGTAGACGGTGAGAGGGCGTCGACCAAGCTGATCAGTGAGAGTGGATGTGAGGATCATGGAGAGCAGCTGGACACTGGACAGGATGACCGTCACGAGGAAGGGATTCTTGTTGCCGGCATATTGGACTACGCTGGTTAATCTCACATCCTCGGCGTACCCTAGGTATTTTTCGAGAAAGCGAAGGTACTTACAGAAGTAGGTTGCATAGGTGTTGAAAACGGCCAAGCCAACAAATTGTTGCGTCACCTTGGGCCAGGAACAGATAATGAAGCGAATCAGATTGCGACCGCGGAAGACCTCCCACATGTCCTCTTCTTTATTCTTCGCCGCCAAATCGTTCTCCATCTGAATGGTAGCGTTCATGACGTTCTGTTGTTCGAATATTAGCAGCAAATCCGCGCATCAAGTAACCTAGAGTTATCACTGACAATATGTTCTTGAACATCGAAAGCTTCGACACCTCGGTTCAAGACCTGAAGCGACTTGGAGGCCTTCTCGAACCTGCCCTTGCTGACGAGCCACCAAGGCGACTCTGGCAGGAGAATGAAGATGATTCCAGCAACTCCCACCATGGCCCACTGAAAAATGTCAGCAATTGGTTGCTTCTACGAAACAATATTTATGTTTCCTTACGTACCTGCGTGTAGATGGGTGTTTTGTAGTCGGTGGGGTCGGCGGCCTTAAGCTCGTAAAGAGCAACCGAGGCGAATAACTGCCCGAGAACGAACCAGCTTGAGAATCACGGTCAGAGTTCAATTCATGAAGTTGGATACGAGCATTGGAACAGGGGGGCCTGCTCACAAAGTATAAGCGTTGATGAAAACACCCCTAAGCTGGGTTGGGGCAACTTCGGCCAGGTAAAGTGGCATGGTACACTGGAGCATGCCAACTCCCATGCCCGACAGGAGCTTAGCAACGAGCCAATGCTGCCAGTTGTTTGCGAAAGATTCGGTCATCACGCTCTGTAGCCAACTATTGTTAGCATAGCTCTCTCTCATGATTTCAAGTCAGCTCTCTCTCATGACTTGAAGTCAAAAGAGAACCGCTAAGCTGAGGCTACTGACCGTGATGAACATAGCCAAGATGATCAAGAGAGAAACCTTACGACCGTATGCCTCGGTGACGTACTGGATGAGCTGCATGATATGTTAGACTGAAGCCCAGGATTTTGCGCGTGCTTGTTGCTTACAAGCTGACCAATAGTTTGCCCTGCTGATTGGATTCCTCCCCACGCCGAAATGTATCTGCCTGCAATGATCTTTTTGCCGCCACCAGCCATTTGTTTGATGAAACCCTTGTTCGAGACAATGCCACCATTCAAGTTGATTTCTGGCACTTCTCATTAGTCGATATTTCTTGCGCATTGCTTGAGGTTACGGTACGTACGATATCCGTCAAGTGATGCGCTGAAAGCACCGGCCATGGCGATGATACCAGCTACTTTGTACAGTCGCATAGTGGCCCACACGCTGAGATCATCACTCTTCGCACGCATGGGACCGAGGGCCTCGTGGAAAGGCCCTTGGGACTTCTCGTCCCCATGATCGTGGCCCTCCACCATGTCGACTTCAGGGTTTTGTTTATCCATTGTGACTTTGTGTTTGTGAGACAAATCTCAACCAGAGAAGTAAAAGTCGAAGCAGACAGCTCTGTGCCAAGCTGGCACTGACAATAGAGAAGATGATGCACTCTGTCGATCCCTTTTGAAGCTCATGGGTCGAGTCATCCTTATACCAACCGCCAATATGCGGCTGCAACATGTAAGTTATAGAGCCGGTTCTCAATGACCCCAGGTAAACCCCATGGGGTTGGGGGTGGTGCAATGTGCCTGTTCCCCCACCTTCTGACAGTAAACCGTCAATAGCTAGCCTTCCCATCTAGCGCTAATCGAACAAAGCTTGCCTGGTCGTAGTATTACGTGCAGTAACCTTTCTCGCGATGCGTGCACCCTGTTTGGCTCGCTTCGTGCCGACTCAGCCGTCACTGCCGTCACTGCCGGCATTCGGCCCCTGAACACGCGAGGCTCGGACCAGAATCTGGCCTGACGACAAGGGCTATTTTGGCAAATCCGTAAAGATCCGTTGGAAAATCCTACCTCGTGATCTTTATCCGTTGGCACCTGTCCGTATGTGAGCTCAACCAAGGCCCCGATTTCCACGCGTCGCGCGCCCTAGTTCTGAAAACGTGCCGCGGTAGCATATTTCTCATTGGAGCTCGGTACTCTTTCACGCGATCACTGTCGTGTTTCTTTGCGAATATGTGCCGACGCGAGTCTGGGGATCCGGGGAGCCTGAACCCCACGGGGAAGCTCGTTGCGCGGATCATCAAGCTGGTGACCCCTGGGTACCTAGCTGTGGTAAGTGAGCTGCTCCATATTGCCTTTCGTCGAAGCTTTACGTCCACCCATGTGAACTCAATTGTTTGGCGCATGGATCGACAGGTACGTAGGCTTTGGTCTCATATAATGAGCTGTCTGGAGCCTTTGTAGCTAGGTCCGTCCTGCATCCTCACTAGATCGACCTCTAACGATCATCCTCTGCAGCCTTTATCACGATTACCAGAATCAGAACTGTCGCCATGGCTCCTGTGCTGTCCAAACTTCTCGTTCTGGGGCAACTAGGCTGCGTGTCTGCTCTCACGTTTGCCGTGCCATCAGCTGTCCCGTCGAATGCAAGCCCCAAGCTAGCTGCGGCTCCTGTGGGAGTCTCGTGGGTTGCCTCGACTGTTGATTGATCATCCAAGAGTGCTCTATACTTACTTGCTTTCTCAGATTTGAGTTCTTCGCTTGGCCCGGTTATTTCGACGATGTCGCCTCGACAACCAAGTGTCTCCAGAACCTCAAAGATGTGAGTGGCACTTGGCCGCCCATCCGAATCGGCGGAACCACCCAGTAAGCAGCCTTTGTAATAGTCTAGGGGTTCCAAAACTGACTTAGCCATAGGGATCGCGCTACTTATGATGCCTCATCCAGCGCGGCGGTGACGTACACGGTTGCCAGCGCCGGAGCTGCGCCAGCGTCTCTGACCTATGGACCCTCGTTCTTTTCGTTAGCAGCCGAGTATGGTGGCAAGGTCGTCATTGGCCTGAACCGTCGACTGAACAACCAAGCCAACACCATTGCGGCGGCTAAAGCTGCAAAGGCAGCAATGGGAAATCTGTACTCCATTGAGCTTGGCAACGAGCCCAACTGTGAGTTTTTGACCGACGCCTCTGTTTGCGTCTCGCTGACTGGCTTCTTCACCAGTCTTTACCAGCAGCGACCCCATCGCCGGAGGAAACACTTGGAACGCGGCTGCCGACTACGCTTCTCAACTCAGTTGGCAGAAGGCGGTGGGCGGTGCTCTCGGCGGTTCAGACCAGTTCTCGGCTGGTGTATACTTTGGAACTTCACCGATGAGCATCAAGGGCCTCACTGACCAAGAAGGGAGCGCCAACTCCTTCGTCAAAGACTACTGTTCCCACAACTACCCGCAGTCCCAGAGCACTGCCGACCTTTCCAAGTTGATGGATCACAGCGCTATCAAGACCCAGATCCAGCCGTTTGCCGCCGAAATCTCTGCTGCTAATGCCGAGGGCAAGCCTCATATCTTTGGAGAGACCAATTCTGGTGAGGCGATTTGCTTGAGCGGTGATGATTCTGTTCAGTACTGATTCGTGTTTTCCAGCGACCCAAGGTGGTGGCGGCATCAGCCCGACGTACGGTGCAGGTCTGTGGGTGATGGACTACGCAATTCAAGCGGCCATTCTGGGAACAAATGTTAGTCTGAACCGACGTTTTACTAGTCTGTGATTTCGCTGATCAATTCGATTCCCAGGCTCTCTATTTCCATCACGGCACCATTGGAAATTGTAAGTCTGGTTCTCGGAACGAATGCAGGACGACGAGGCTGACGCAAAGCAGGCCAGTATTGCTGGTGGGGTAACTTCACCGTTGGTGCTCCGTACTACGGTGCCATGATGGCCACCAAGGCCCTTGCAGGTGCCGACAGGGTTGCCCCTCTCGACGATGGCAGCACTCGTTACGGTGCCTATGCCATTTATAAGAACAACACCCCTGTCAGGGTCCTCCTTTACAACTCTGAATACTTCACCAGCGGGACTCGGGCAACGCAGACGTATACGCTAACAGGGCTGACTTCGTCCAAAGTCACTGCTAAGCGCCTGACTGCTGCGTTCTCCACTTCCAGGGTTGATAAGGGTCAGTCTCCCACACTGGCGGGACAGACTTGGACGGGTGGATCCTGCAATGTGAAGGGTACCGAAGTCTTGGAGAGTGCGACTGTATCCGGTGGTCAGGCTACTTTCACCGTTGGTGCTTCTGAGGCTTTGCTGGTGTACCTCTGAGGTCCAATGTACTTTGGATCAAGTGCGACGTGGTGCCAGGGTGCGGGCTGTAGGACCGTGTAGCTGGGTCGGCTTGTGTCTAGTTCAAGATAAGAGGTTCATGGGATTCAGGCTCGTGAGATTTAGGACAAATGATGCAATACACCTAACTGGATCGAACAATGGTGCGATGAATGCGCAGTTTCTCCGAATGAACAACATATGTGCAAGAGTAGTAGTAGATTTTGCATATACATGAGAATCATGGTTCAAAGAACGCAGGACTTTGAATGGGTAACGTGAAGAAAACGTGGATGCAAATGATCTTTTTCGTTTGCTTTTCTCAAACACCTTTCTCATGGGTTTCCTCGATCTTTTTGCCAATTGCCAACTGAATCGGAAATTGAAGCCTACACGCTGCTTATTCGCGACTCTCGAGGTAAATTTTGGCACTCTAGATACCTAATACTGCCTTGAGGCACCTTCCTGTTCGCTTCTGTCATTTGGTCCAACAAGACAGGCCTGGAACGCATCTTTCGGCCATACGACGCCATACCAGAGCAACAAGCAAGCCAACTCCCCAAAGGTCTCCGTTTTTTCCGCATTATCCGTTGTATCCGTCTTCTTGATTCTATGTTCGACATATAAGAAGGACGTGGCTTGATAAATGCCCGGATGAGGACCCTTCCCCGCATTCACCGGCACTCCGGCACCTTAGTGCGTCCGCCCCCCGCGTACCCCCACCGGAAAACACGGCACCCCTCGTGTAACGTCAGGAGGCTCACAACACAAAGACACCTGATCATGGGGTGGCTTGCCGGTTGGTATTCACCCGAGGAAGGAAGCTATTGGCGTCACAGGAGCTCCAGTTGGCAACGCGGCTGCTTGGTTCAAATGCTGTAGCAGGTCTGCTCGTCCGAGGCGGGATGGCGACCACCCACATTCCCCTTCGCCACCAACGCAGCCATGACGACGAAGGAAGAACAGGCTGTGAGTTCGGACTGGCTCCCTTGACTTGATCGAAGTGTGGCTTACCACGGAAGAATTGTAGATTGTCAACAAGCTCCAGGCGAACTGGGTCTGGTCACCCGACTGGGTCGATTCTTCCACAGGCAACACGGTCGGCAACATAGCAGTCTTCACCCGCCGATTCGTCGCGGACTCCAAGCCCAGCAAATCATTGCTGCAGCTTTCGGCAGACACGCGGTACAAACTCACAGTGAACGGAACGCGAGTCGCAGTAGGGCCCGCGAGAGGAAGTCCGTTGATATGGTACTACGACACGATTGACATTGCGCCGTTTGCGCAAGCGGGAGAGAATGAGATCAAGATTGAGGTCCTCCGCTGTTTCTCCTCGTCACGGGGCGCCATGCCGTTTGAAAGAACTGCGACACCCGGCTTGACGGTCGTAGGGTCTGTGCAAGCCGGCGACCACTCCACCGAGCTCGACTCGGCCCAGGGCTGGGAGGTACAAACTGATGACAGCATTCTCTTTCCAATGGGCCTCATTGATGACAACTTCTTACACGTAAGATCCTAATCTAGGCGTATTTACCATCCATATGATATGCTCATCGTCATGCTTGCAGATTTACGAAAGAGCTTCTCCAAAAGCCCTCGGGATACTCGCGACACCAAAGGCGTACAACATCAAGACGCTGAATGGCGAGCTGGCCCCCTGGCGCCTGCGCGCACGATCGATACCCATGCCAACACAAGAGGCTATCAAGGTTAACACCGTTCGTTTCTGCCAGAGCACTCTTCCTGTCGACGAGTGGACTCGCTCTCTTTCGGGGGCGCATCCACTGACTCTGCCGGGGGCAAGTCGACATGTGCTTGAGCTGCAGGCTGACGTCCACTCAACCGCCTTCGTACGCTGGACGTTCAGAGCGGCATCACGGTCTCGAGTTAAGCTGAAAGTAACATACTCGGAAGGATACGAGCTCGAGCCTCGTGTATACCCATTCTTCCGCACCAAGGCCGATCGCTTGGATGCAACGGCTGGTCGAATCATAGGACCATACGATGAGGCGGTGTTGGACATTTCGGCAGACAGCCAGGTTAACTACGAACCCTTTTGGTTCCGTACGTTCCGCGTCTTCCGTCTTGAGGTGGACGTCGGTCCCGAAGCGGTCGAGTTTGTGTCCTTCGACGCGACGCAGACGCATTACCCACTGGAAGTCAAGGGCAGCTGGTCCGATCACAGCGACCCGCAGGGCGCGCAGATGTGGGATGTCTCTATACGAACCATGCGCAACTGCATGT